TAATGTACAGACTTTATTAACTAATAAAAAAATGCGTTAATATAATGAATGTATTTTATCACTTCTACAAAATTTTATAATAGACATCTAATAAATGAATTTATTAAGTATATGAACATATATGTTGGAAGAATGAACTTTTTCATTGATTTAATTAAATGTTATATTATGATATATTCAAGTACAGCATATTAATAAACAGTGATTTGTTATATTAATAAATCCAGTTATTATTAGCTTATTTTAATTATTAGCTTAATTATTTTTATTAGCTAATAAAAAATACTCAATAAAATATTCATAATATCTATTAAAAGTTCATTATATCAATGAATTTAAAGTCAGTAAATGTCATTCATTGATATTATGAATAACATTTTTTTCAGTGTATAAGTAAAAATATTATAATCTTACTTCAAAGATATCAATCTTGATTTGATTAAATTTGTTTTGATGCAAGTATTACCTTGCACTTAATTCCAGACTTGCTCAATTAAAAATCTTATATCAATACAAATTCAATCAAATTAAGATTGATATCTTTGAAGCAAGATTATAATATTTTTGTTTATATGAATATATTATGGTTGATTTAAGAATAGTTTTTTTTTCTGTGCGGGTGCCCCTGTGTATCACCTTATCCTTATTTAACATTGGGTGAATAACAAGGATAAAACGATACACAGAGGCACTCGGGTGATGTTTCCGAACGCAGCCTAATAATAATCACCATAAAATAACAAAGGAACACATATGAGGTGTGTTCCATTTGGCGCTCGCAACGCTCGCAAGTAATACTTGTTTAACGTTTGATAAACAACAAGAATGAAATGATTCCATGAACGTTGCGAGCGTCAAGTAGAACGCATTCATAGTAATACATAAATATAGATTATTTAGTACATTGCAGTCTTTTACGATGACTTTTACGATGAATCACGCCATTTCGACTTCCCGTTGTCTCGTTACTACTACGTGGTATAGTCAGGTTGATATAGAGTCAGTCACCTTAAACGGGTCATGTGGATCTATATCGCGATAACAGTCTATCGGATGTGCTAAATGCATTTTAAATCAGCTACATGAATTCGCTCGAATCAACTGTTGCATTTCACATCCACTATGCAATTTAACGATAAAGCTACGATTGGTTAATGAATCGACGAGATTTTCTTTCGATAAGATCTTGCCAATTTTTGAAAACTCTTTGTATTCAAATAGATAATGTCTTTGTATTCAATTAATCTGTCTCTTTGTATTCAATTATTATATCTTTTTCATTGTCAGATATATATTTATAATCATGCGTTATACATATATAAGATACTGACATAGATTTTCTAAAGAAACATTCTCTTATTTCTCAGAAATTAATTGCTGTATTTTATTAATACTAACAAAAACATGATCTGTTTAGATGATTAAAGAAGTAAAAACTCATAATTTATACATTTGTAACTTGTTTCTATACAAAATCATCTAAAAATATATTCTACAAATATGAAAATAAAATTCTTACAAATTTTTTTTTGCAAATTACATAGCTTAAACAATAGTGTATAATATATTATTGATAATATTACATCATTTTACATATTTATTTTTTTAAATCAGTTTTATTTATATTTTTTCTTTCTATTTTTTTCATGGTTTTAAATACAAAATCGGAGTGCAGCGTAAACTGGCATATCTGTCTGAGACAAACCATAAGCTAACTTAATCTTTATAGTATTGCGTTATAGTGTCAAATAGTCTTTATCAGGAGCTGAAGGCAATCGCATATTTATGGGAAAATTCTAAAAAAAAAAAAAAAATTCTAGCGTTACATGTTTGCATTTTACAGAACAGCATAAAGTATACATATAAAATATAAATCAATAAAAACCGTTTTATATAAGTGAAAAGATTCTAGAAAATCTTATATAGAGGAAAGTCGCTGATACTGACATAGATTTCCTAAAATGACACCCCCTTATTTCTCAGAAACTAACTATTGCACTTTATTAATACTAATAAAATCATGATCTGTTTAACTAATTAAAGAAGTACAAACTCATAATTCATATATTTGTGGCTTATTTCTATACCAAATCAGCTAAAAACCAATTCTATGAATCCGAGAAGAAAATTCTTACGGTGTTCTTTTGCAAATTGCGTAATTAAAATAATAGTGACTGTATTATTGATAATATTATGTCATTCCAAACGTTTATAGTTTTATAAATTAGTTTTCTTTACAGAATAGAATATATCTTTATTTATAGAATAGGAATGTTGGCATTATTGCCTACTATGTTAGTTTTGGAACCCATTTTGTCAGACGCTCATTTTTGCATAACTTACGAAAAACTTAATTATGCAAAATTGCAAACAGTATTATAAAAATTGCTTATACTATCTGATAGAAGATACTTTTTACTTCGTATTTATGTTTTTGAAGTTGTACTTTTACCTTTTGTTTAAGAAGTATTGTCTAAAAACAAAGTGGTATGTCGGTATCGGTGACCTTCCTCTATACATTCACTTATACCCAATTTCTTCATCTCTAGATCACTTTATCCAAGAGATATCTCCCAGAATACGATATCTCCTGGATAAGGTTATTCGCAACTTATCTGGAAGTGCAGAAATTGGGCATTATAGGTATTTCTTACAGGCTTCTGTAAAAACAAAAAAATAGAATATATGGCATTATTGCCTACTGTGTCAGTTTTAGGGTTTAATCACTATTGTACTAAGCGCTCATTGCTGCTTATTTTATACGAAAAAATTTATTATTGCAAAATTACAAACAGTATTGTAAAAACTGCTGTATTATCTTATAGAACACACTTTCTAGTGTTTATGTTTTTGTATTTATGTTTCTAAAGTGTTTTTATTTTTGGCTTTTGTTTAAGAAATATTGTCCTGTGAAATATTTGAAAACATAATAATACATCGACTTTCCTCTGTATATTTATATTTACATTTATATACAATCGTCTCACTAAAAAGTGCTCGATTCTTAATTCGTTGATTCGTGTATGAATGTTCTAATCGTTTTGGTCACGTCGCATTGAAAATAAAAAAAGACTCCCGACAAAGGCATTCTTATGCACGACTATCGACAGAATAATAAAGCGATCGCAGCTTCACACGGGCTAACCGTGACTTTGAACCCAAGCACGTGCATTTCATGTTTCAGTGAACTCCTGGTGCTAAGTTCGGCCATGCGTGCATCCTATGGAATGCAGTTGCACACGGTCGAAATTTAACTCAGTGATAATCCAATATAACTGTGTGCTACATTCTTCCATTTTATTCTTTCATAGATCTCTCATAATGACAAACAGATCGTTGCGTAAGAGTCATACGAGATGCGCGATATAATTATAGTATACGCGCAACTGTTGCATAAATCGTAATTCTGTAACCGTAATGAGCACGTAACACGCAAGCCGCGATTTTTATTCTTACGAGTAATAAACAATTTACGCACCACGATACAATAACGACGTAACAGCTAGGTATACTTACAGCAGATTCGCAGCATTAGAATAATATAAATATATATATTGGAACATCGCGCGTATATCGCAAGTGGATTCCTACAATATAGACTCGTGTTGTGGTTGGTGCGTAACGGATGTGCATACGTTAATAGTCGCGGAAAACGAATTAACGGTCTTAACGTGTGTGTGCATGCGCGTGCGGACAAACGAGAATGCACATCGCAATATTTTTAAACAAAGCAAATATTCTCTCGCGCTTCTCCACGCGTCTCACGTATAAAATGCTTTACCGTAGGGTCCAGATGGCGTACGAAGAACCTAACGTACAAAATTAGCAAGTACCCAACTGGTCTCAACAAACAGGAAGTGGAAAAGGAAATAGCGAACGCGTTCTCTGTTTGGACGGGTGAAACTGATCTGACATTTACCCGCAAGACAGGACACGAAAATGTAAGGCCCGTATAATCAAGATATATGTATGCTTATGTGACCAACTGACGCGGATCGATTGTTAAAAATTGAAGAGATAAAAATATTATTATATATTGGTGAAATACTAAACAAAAGTGATTCGTTTAGGTTCACATCGACATTCGATTCGAAGTAGGTGAACACGGCGACGGTGATCCTTTCGATGGACCTGGCGGCACCTTGGCACACGCATACTTTCCGGTATACGGTGGTGATGCTCACTTCGACGATTCTGAACGATGGACCATCAGAAGCTACCGCGGTACCAATCTCTTTCAAGTCGCGGCTCATGAATTCGGACACTCGCTCGGTTTAAGTCACAGTGATGTCAAAAGTGCCCTGATGGCACCTTTTTACCGCGGCTACGATCCACATTTTACTCTAGATCAAGATGATGTTAGCGCGATTCAGGTAACGTTCGAAAGACTGAAACCTTCTATTACCAGTTACATTCGTGATTTTGGATGTAGCGTGTCTCGAGTAGCTAATACTAAATCATTTCAGGCTCTGTATGGCACGAAAACTAAATCGAGTGTGCCACGAGGATCGCGACCTCCGCCGCCTGCCGAACAAGATCCTGAATTGTGTAAAGATCCGAAGATCGATGCAATGTTCAATACGAAAGACGGCGAGATAATTGCGTTCAAGGGTACGTACACTTCGGAGTTGTAATCTCTTCCATTAGTATTTGGATTCTACCAAAGAGATGACAAAGCAAGAATACTGAAGCTATTATTATGAAACTTTCAGGAAAACATTATTGGAAATTAACAGACGATGGTGTGGCTAGCGGTTATCCTAGACGTATTAGTAGCACGTGGAAGGAACTTCCGTCAAATATAGATGCTGCATTTACATACAGGAATGGCAAAACTTACTTCTTCAAGGTAATCGTTTACTTTAATAAATGAGCAAAATCCAAAATTGATTTGGTTCCTTTTACTCTATACTGTAGGTCAGTATTTATTCCTGTACTAGAACTTCCTTTCTCGCTTTCGTCAAATATCAAACATATACTTATTCCACTTTAAGTTCTAAAAGTATACACTGGTTCAGCTATATAGAAAACAGACCTTATGTCGACATTGATCAATATGCAGATTTCATAGACTATAATTGACACTGCAATTATTTTACTTTAGGGCACGCAATACTGGAGGTACATTAATACGACCATGGACGGTGACTACCCGAAGGAAATTAGCGATGGTTTTACTGGCATTCCTGATAACATCGATGCGGCTACCGTATGGACTGGAAATGGCAAGATTTATTTCTACAAGGGTACGAAATTCTGGCGCTTCGATCCAGCGTCGAAGCCACCAGTGAGAAATAGCTATCCTAAACTCATCCAAAATTGGGAAGGCATACCGAATCACATCAACGCGGCAGTACCATATAAGGGCTATACATATTTCTTCCAAGATAATGCCTACTATCGATTCAACGACCGATTGTTCAAGGTAAGCACGAGTTAGTTTTTAAATTAATTTTTTGTTCGTAGCAACACTGCATATAGCAATATGATTGGAAAATAACACCAGCGCAGTGGAGCTTATAACGTTACATAATAACACGCGCGTTCTTGGTCTCTATCTCGTGTTACGTCCCAAATTACGGAACATATCGTCACATATACTCTTTAAGTTCTTTGAAAAGGAATCTCACTCTCAAGAGTAAATTGAGCCAGTTTTTGAAAAAAATTTAATTTTTAATCTTTAAAAGTGAGATTTCACTCTTCGGAGTAAAATTCACTCCAAAGATGACTCTACACGGTCAATAATATTAATAGAGCATCGAGTGGCTCGCTACTCAGTGCGGTTGACTCGCGATCTCTAGATCTGGGTTCAATCCCACTTGCGCCCATATACGCGATTTTTCGTGTTTAAGGAGCCAAAAATGGCTCCATCTGGGGTGATTTAAGGGAATCACCAGCCGGAAACCTCATGAGAGAGGTAGCTAAGACGAGACAGTCTTGGGATGTCGTGCTATCCTTTGGGTATCCCGGTGCCGTTGTGTCTCCTATGTTATGGTCCAAATAAAATTATTTTTAGATCTGTATCTAATTAAATATTATAGAATATAAATATTTAGCAAATTAAAGTACCAAAAAATCTAGGGGAGTAGGAATCAATGCATTATATTTTATAATATACTGTGACATGGATCCTAAAGATGATGCTCGAGCAGTGGCGTAACTAACGACCCCGCAGACCCTGCGGTGCGGGGGGGCGCACCAAAGGCGGGGG